AAACCTTTGCTGGAGCGAGGAGTTCAAAAGATCTCGAGAACTTTTTGTGGGGTATGGAGCACTATTTCAGTATGGCCAAGATTGGTGTGGACGGTCAAGTGGACATCGTAGTGATGTATCTATCGGGCGATGCAAAGTTGTGGTGGCGAACAAGGACCAAGGAGGACTTGAATGCTGGTAGGCCAAAGGTGGAGACATGGGAGAGTCTGAAACGAGAATTGAAGGAACAATTTCTGCCCAACAATACCTCCTGGATTGCGAGAGAAGACTTGAAAAAGCTGCGGCAAGACGGGTCGATAAGGGATTATGTTAAGAAATTCAGCTCTTTAATTCTTGATGTTGATAACATGTTCGAGGAGGACAGAATGTTCAACTTTCTGTTGGGACTTCAGCCGTGGGCACAGTTGGAGTTGAGGAGGCAGAAAATTTCGGACTTGTCTTCTGCCATTGCTGTTGCCGATGGATTGGCAGACTTTAGAGCAGAGTCCAGCGAGAGGGCTGCTGGAGTTTCTGGGGTTTCATCGAGGCCTAAGGATATGAGCGAGATGAAAAAGAAGAAGAGATTTGGTGGGGGAGAACCTCGACAGGCTGCTGGTGTGGGAAGATCAGATGTGAAGGCCAAGGAAAAAGGTATGAATTTGAATCTACGATGCTTTATATATAAGGGGAATCACTTTGCTAGGGACTACCCGAAGAAGGGAAAACTCAATGATGTTGTTGTAGAAGATGGTGCTGAGGACACGGCATACGTGAATCCCATGCATGTGCTTAGTGGCTGAGATGGGGATTCAGTCACGTTGGGACCAGCCTAGAGGAGGTAGGCAAGGGCTGGGCGAGTTTGCCTGTGATGGGGCAGATTCGAAAATCTGTTTTGTGCACTTCGGCAGTGGATAGTGGAGTGATGGAAGCAAAGACAGTTTGCTGGGTGTCTTGGCTGATGGACAAGCTAGGAAACAGTGTGGTTTTGGGAGTATGAATGTCTTGACGATGGGCTGATCAGGATGACAGATTCGGCAGCCGATACAGTGAGTTCGGTTGAGGAGCTAGGTGCAT